TTAAATTGGACACTCTCAAAACCTGCCATTTTTTTAACATTTAGCTCTGTATCTCCGAAACCGCTGGGCCTACCTTTGCCAAAAACTAATAACCACCGTCATTACGAACTGAATGTTTTTTGGATCGTACAAATCGGATGATCCTTTCTCTCAAAAACTCGGTTTCTATTTTCTGCACTTTTTGCTCCGTATCTCCGTACCTGCTGGACATACTTTTGCCAAAAACTAATCAGCACATCTCCCTATTAATAGGAATCGAATGTTTTTTAAACCATTTAAATCGGTTGATCCGTGCGCCCGAAAACGTAGACGAAAAAATGCGGACATACAAAACACACACACACACACACATCCATGTGTTCCCTTAAAAATGTTCCGAAACCTTCAAAACGTGGAGAAATGCAAAAATTTTCATTTTCCATTTTCGGCCCATTACTATTATATATATAATATATTTATATTACACACCAACTACATATATTCCAACAAACCTGTAAATAATCATTCATCTGGTTCGAGTACAATTTGACCGTCAAACCATTTTTATCAAGCGCCACAATCGGCGGTTTTCCTAAATCCACCACATTATTTGGTACAACAGGGGCTAACAAGTCATCCGTTAACAATCCTCCCAACAAGTCTCCTCCTCCTCCTGGAGCCATCGGTGCAATATTTGGCACATTCTGTTGTTGTAATGCGGAATAATTTGGCATCGTCTGTATATTAGCCATGTTATTCATAGAAACTAAGTTGTTCATGGCCGGCACATTGGCACCAGGTATTGTTGGCATTGGACTGGGGGTAAAGTCTATCGTTCCTAACAGATCCAGAAGATTACTGGTACCATCGGCTGGTGGTGCAGGTTGTATGGTGCTTATTGTCGTGTTGCTTGGCTGGGTTGATGCAAGACTTGCGTCTCCAAGAAGATCTAGCAAGGCAGACTGAAATATAAGAAATTAAAATATTAAGAATTTACAAAGAATTTGAAATTTTATTTAATAATCTAGAAGCTAAAAGAAAAAATATTAAAAATAATAGTGAAAAAAATATTAGTTATAAAAATAATAATAAATTAATAAATAAATAAAGAATTAAATAGATGATAATTAATATAGTAATAATAAGATAATAATAAGAATGAATAAAAATTTCTAATAATAATAAATATAATAATGATGAATTTAAAAAATATATATATAAAAATAAAAATAATAGTAATAAAAATAATAAACAAAAGAAAAAAAAATTAAATAAATAGTAATAAATAATAAGAATAAATAAAAGAAAATAGAAAAAAATAAATAAAAGAAAAATGATTAAATAAATAAATAAATACATAATAGCAAAAATAAATAAAATAATAATATTAAATAAATAAAAAAGGAAAAAAGTTACATAACTACATAATAGAAATAAAATGAATAAACCAAATAAAAATAATAATAAATTAATAAATAAAAAATTAAATAGATGATAATTATAGTAATAAGAAAATAATAAAAATGAATAAAAATTTGTAATAATAATAATATAATAATGATGAATTAAATAAAAAAAAATAAAAATAAAAATAATAGTAAAAAAAAATAATACATAAAGAAAAAATAAATAGAAAACAAAAAAAGAATAGTAATAAATAGTAAAAAAAAATAAAATAAACAAAATAGAAATAAATAAATGAAAGAAAAAGATTAAATAAATAAATAAATACATAATAGCAAAAATAAATAAAATAATAGTATTAAATAAAAAAAAAGGAAAAAAGTTTACATAACTACATAATAGAATAAAATGAATAAACCAAATAAAAATAATAATAAATTAATAAATAAAGAATTAAATAGATGATAATATAGTGTTAAGAAAATAATAAAAATGAATAAAAATTGTAATAATAATAAATATAATAATGATGAATTAAATAAAAAAAAAAATAAAAAAAAATAATAGTAATAAAAAATAATACAAAAAGAAAAAAAAATGAATAGTAATAAATAATAAGAAAAAATAAAAGAAAAGAAAATAGAAATAAGTAAATGAAAGAAATGATTAAATAAATAATAAATAAATACATAATACCAAAAATAAATAAAATAATAGTATTAAATAAATAAAAAAGAAAAAAGTTTACATAACTAAATAATAGAAATAAAATAAATAAACCAAATAAAAATAATAATAAATTAATAAATAAAGAATTAAATAGATGATAATTATATAGTAATAAAAAAATAATAAAAATAAATAAAATTTCTAATAATAATAAATATGATAATGATGAATTAAATTAAAAAAAATAAAAATAAAAATAATAGTAATAAAAAATAATACATAAGAAAAAAAAATAAATGAATAGTAATAAATAGTAAGAAAAAAAATAAAATAAACAAAATAGAAATAAATAAATGAAAGAAAAATGATTAAATAAATAAATAAATACATAATAGCAAAAAAATAAAAAATAGTATTAAATAAATAAAAAGAAAAAAGGTTTACATAGCTAAATAATAGAAATAAAACAAATAAATAAACAAAATAAAAATAATAATAAATTAATAAATAAAGATTAAATAGATGATAATTAATATAGTAATAAAAAAATAAAAATATAAAAATAAAAAAATAATAAAAATATAAAAATAAAAATAATTATAAAATCAAAAGTTATAAATAAAAGAAAAAAAATTAAATTAATAGTAATAAATTAAAAATGAATAAATGAATTAAATGAATAAAATAATAACAGTAGGAAATAAATAAATAGAAAAATAATTAATTAAATTAATGGTAATAAAAATAATGATGAAAATAAATACAATAATAGCAATAAATTAAGAAAAATAAAATAAATAAGAATCAAATAAAGAAGTAATAGTAACAAGTAAACATAATAGTAATAAAGAAAAAAGAGAGGAAAATAAATTAAATAAATAAATAATAAGAAAAATAATAGCAATAAATTAAAAAAAATAAAATAAATTAAGAATCAAATAAAGAAATAAATAATAGTAACAAGTAAAAATAATAGTAATAAATAAAAAGAGAGGAAAATAAATTAAATAAATAAATAATAAGAAAAATAAAAATATTAATAATGAAATCAAATAATAAATAAATATAAATGAATGATTAAAAATTATTAAATAAATAATTGTAAGAAAAAATAATAAAAATAACTAAAACAATAATAATATAAAATAAATAAATAAATAATAGTAAAAATTTTGTAAGAACAAAATAATAATATTTAAAGAAAAAAAAATTATTAAATAAATAATAGTGATAAATAAAATGAATAAAAAAGAATTAAAAAATAAAAGTAATATAAAAATAAAAAAGATTTAAATAAATAAATAAATAAAATTATTAAATAAATAATTTGTAAAAAATAAAAATAATAGTCAGAAATAATAATAAAAAAATAACTAAAATAATAATAAAAAATAAATAAGAACAGAAAAAAAGAATTAAATAAATAAATACAACAATTAAATTAAAAGATAGTAGTAAAAAAATAAAAGTAGTAACAGAAATAAAAAAGAATTAAATAAAAAATAAAAATAATTAAATAAATAATTGTAAAAAATAATAATAATAGTCAGAAATAATAATAATAAAAATAACTAAAATTATAATAAAAAATAAATAAGAACAGAAAAAAAAAATTAAATAAATAAATACAACAATTAAATTAACAAATAGTAGTAATAAATGAAAGTAATAATAAAAATAAAAAATAATTAATAAATAAATAAGTAATAGTAATAAGTAAAAGAATAGCAATTAACAAAATCGAAACAAAATAATAATAAATAAATAAAAGAAAGAAAAATGTTATTAAATAAATAAAAGTAATAAAAAAATAAAAAAGATTTAAATAAATAAGTAATAGTAATCAGTAAAAGAATAGCAATTAATAAAATAAAAACAAAATAATAATAAATAAATAAATAATAGTATTAAATAAAATTAATAAAGAGTTAAAAATAAATGTAATAATGAAAATGAAAAAGATTTAAATAAATAAGTAATAATAAAAATGAAAAAGATATAAATAAATAAGTAATAATAGCAATAATAGCAATAAATTGAGAAAAAAAATAAAACAAATTAAAATTTAAATAAAAAATAAATAATGGTTACAAGTAAAAATAATAGTGATAAATAAAAAAGAGAGGAAAATAAATAAATAAATAGTAAGAGAAGTAAAAATAATTATAATGAAATCAAATAATAAATAAATATAAATAATGAATAAACATAATTAAATAAATGATTGTAAGAAAAAATAATAAAAATAACTAAAACAATAATAATATAAGATGAATAATAATGATGAAAATAAATAAATAGAGAAAATAAATAAATAAATAAATAAATACGACAATTAAATTAATAAATAGTAGTAAAAAAATAAAAGTAATAATAAAAATAAAAAAGAAGTAATAAATAAATAAGTAATAGTAATCAGTCAAAAAAATAGTAAGTAATAAAATCAAAACAAAATAATAATAAATAAATAAAAGAAAGAAAAATGTTATTAAATAAATAATAGTAATAAAAAAAATTATTAAAAAAGAGTCAAAAAGAAAAGTAATAATAAAAATAAAAAAGAATTACATAAATAAGTAAAAAAATAGTAATTAACTAAAAACAAAATAATAATAAATAAATAAAAGAAAGAGAAATGTTACTAAATTAAATGAATAAAAGTAATAAATAAAATTAATAAAAAACAGTTAAAATATATAATAATAATAAAAATAAAAAGAAAAAAAAAAATAGAAAGAAGATAAAAATGAAAACTAGTAATAAAAAAATTAATAAACAGATAATAGTATTAAATAAAAATAATAAAAATAAACAGGATAATCAAAAATTACTTGTGTAATTTTAAGTACATAAAAATTTCTATTATCTTGCTTTATAAAGTTCTACTTACACTCATTGCATCGTTAGAGTTGGTGTTCATAGATGCAGCACTACTAACATTGCTATCATCGTGTACATTCAAAACATCATCAAGTAATCCATCACCATTTTCATTATTCTTCTGCTGTCCTATAGATTGCAACGGGGGCATTCTTTCCAGCAAAGCAGGTCTTAGTTGTGAATACTCTCTGAACAATTGTGAAAACTCGACGCCCCTTTGTTGTAAATCAACATGAAGATGAGACCCGAAGGAATCCAGGATTGCATGGATATCACTGAAAAAGTAGAAATACAATGAAGACATTCGGATGGGCAGATTTGTGAAATAAGTATTTTTAATATCACCACTCACTCTTGTCCAGTCTTCAGCCTCGTGCTCAATTTAGCAAGCGACACCAGAACAAACTGTTTGCTCGTCACATTAAGCTGGGTCGACCACAGCATCTTCTTATAGGCTGCAATGACTTCATCGTCAGTTGGCACCACATAATCTGCACCTCCAAGGACTTCTTCTTCCCCATACACCAATAAGTCTCCAAATTCCCCAATCGTCCATACAGCCACTTGTAACAATGGTTGTTTCTCGCTCGGAGCACCCGTTACTTGGAATGCTGTGAGGCCCCCGTTCGAGACAGGTGAACTTCCAGCTTTGTTCTGTTGGGTGATGGAATCCCAGAGTTTTCGACAGATGTACTGTTGTTCACCAGGGGTGCTTCCGGAGATTAATTGGATTGTGTGGGCTACTACGTCGTCTCTCACATAGTTACCAGCCTGGGTAAAAAAAAAAATTTAAACTAGTGGTGCGTGGCATCGTGCGTTAAGGCAAATTGCTGGAATTTCCCGTGCCGTAATGAAATATTCGAGGAATGAAAATAATCAATAATTTATAAGTGATTATTAATTTTTGCGACGAGCGTATTCTACAAACAACTTGTGTGTAGGTTTACAAAAAGAATTTTTAATTTGATAATTTTCTTTTACTTCTTATTAATTTTGGTGTTCATTCAAAATTTAAATTTTTTTGTAAATGTAAATCGATTTTTTACATTTTTTTGAGAATTAGGACATTTTTGAAAGTATTCGATTTTTTTTTTAAATTTCGACATATCCACAAATTTTTATAAGAAATCTTTTTTTAAGTTTTCATATTTTTCAAATTATAATTCGGAAATTTGAACTTTTTGACACTTTTAATTTTTTTTTTTGAAAATTTTAAAAACTTTTGAAATTTATTAAAAGTTCTAGAATTTTTGGTAAAAATCCTGTTTTTAAAATTTGGGAATTTTTGAAAATATTCGATTTTTTTTTTTAAATTTCGACATTCTCACAAATTTTTATAAGATATCTTTTTTTTAAATTTGGTAATTTTCTAAGTTTTTCGATATTTCGATTTTTTTTTAATTTCTAAAATTTGAACATTTTTTGAAAAATTTAGAAAATTTGAACTATTTGAAACTATTGTTTTTTTTTAAATTTTTAAAACTTTAAAAATTTATTCAAAATTTTGAATTTTTTGGAAAAAATCGATTTTTTTAAATTTTTTGAGTTTATTCGATTTTTTTTAAATATCGACATATTCACAAATTTTTATAAAAATTGTTTTTTTCTTTAATTTCGATATTTTCCGAAATTTTTCAAAATTTAGATTCTTTAAAAAATTTCGAAAATTTGAACTTTTTGAAACTTTTGAATTTTTTTTTTAAATTTTAAAACCTTTTGAAATTCATTCAAATTTTTAATATTTTTGTAAAAAATCGATTTTTTTAAATGTCTTGAGAATTTTGATTTTTTTAACATATTCACAATTTTTTATAAGAAATCTCTTTTTATAAATTTCGATAATTTTCCAAATTTTTCGAAATTCAGATTTTATTGAAAAATTTCGAAAATTTGAACTTTTTGAAACAATTCAATAATTTTCTAAATTTTTCGAAAATTAGATTTTTAAAAAAAATTGAAAATTTGAATTTTTGAAACTTTTGAATTTTTTTTTTGAAAATTTTTAAAACTTGAAATTTATTGAAAATTTTAAAGTTTTTCGAAAAATCTATTTTTTTTTTAAATTTCTTGAGAATTCGTAAATTTTTTAAATTTTGGGATTTTTTAAATATTTTTCTTACCGCTGTCAGGACTCTCAAAAGTGTATCCAGGTGCCAACACATATTTGGGGCATATCTATCTGCAACATGCACCAATCCACTTGAGCACTGGGCCTGAAATTCAGGGTCTGCTCGTTCCAGGAATATCAACAGTTCACGACAAATGCTTTCAATATTCTGTGCATTCACCAAAGCAAAAGATAATTCCATGGCTCGTCTTCGAATAGAAACATCAGGATCCTGAAAATAGAAAGAAATACAGATACATATTATAAATATATATATATATATATATATATATATATATATATATATATATATTAATAAAAGTGCCAAAAATCAAACATTTTATAGATTTGGACTCGGATTTCTCAGAACTTTATCCATGTTAGTTTCAGGAATAGTATGAACATCAATTTATAGTCAAAAATTTATATGATAAGTGATTAAAACATTATAGATCACAATAAAAAAGCGACATATTAAATTTAACATTAATCATAAACAAAATTCTGCCAGTTCAAAAAAAATGAATTTTTAACGACTTCAATAAGATACAAATAAATTAATTATTCCAAGTTATGTTATAGGCAATATTGGCAATCAAATTATAGATATAAATTATATCATATTATATTAAATTTCAACCAAAAAGGAAATATTTTGGCATTTAAAAATTTAGTGCATATTGGATATACGAAATTGACATTCAATATTTTTAAATTAAATGCAAAAGTAAAAAATCTGATATTTATATAAAGTATTATATATTCAGATAATGGTACTGCGTTGTTTCAGACTAAAATCTAATTTATTCATTGATTAAAAAAAATATTTCACTGTTTGACATAAATAAAATTAAAATAAACAAAACACTATGATGCGTTGGAATTAATTGTCAAAATGTAAAGAAATTTGTGTAATAAAAATATAACATTATTATTAATATATCATGTATATTATAAGAACTTCTGCAATGCGGCAAAATATTTTTGATGGCAAAACAGCGTTTGCCGGGTCAGCTAGTAAATTATATTAGGTTGTCAAATATCTCCCTTCCGCTTTTTATATATATATATATATATATGAAAGCGGAAGGGAGATATTTGACAACCTAATATTATATATATATATATATATATATATATATAAACATATATATTTATATATATATATATATATATATATATAAATATATGTTATACCTTTAGACATTCCAATATTGTAGATCTGTGCCTTTGTACTGCTGATGTATCGACGTGCACAGTTCTGAGTAAAGTATTGAGAGCAACATATCGAATATTTTTATCACTGTTCAATAAGAAGCGACCAAGAATGTTGACAGCTAGTACTCGCAAGCCCACTTCGGATCTATAAGGATATTACATAATTATTTACCCATTAAAGATACAAAATAATCTTATAATAAATGTTTTGACCTTTCACCCAACCCAAAACTCCAAAAGTTCATATTAAATACTTTAAATAATACAACAATGGAGTGCAAAGAATTAAATACAAATACTTCAATACAAACTATTTAAAATTGATTTACAATAATTTCTTCTTCTTCTACTCACTTAATATCCATAATGGACAGAACAGTTTCATACAAAATAGTATTCCCCACATTTTTACTAGTTTCAGTATTCGTAGCAACCTGAGCCAGGATATCATTCATAGATTCACTGGTTTCTGCATCGTTATGTCCAAGGATACGAAGCAATCGTAAAATCTTGACCTGAATAACAAATAAATACAAACGATATAAATCAATATTCACAGTTGAATAATATTTATTGTATATTATTACTTGTAGGAAAGGATCACTGACTCCAGACACGTCGTGTTCTGGTGAATATCCTGAGAGGATTAAATTTTTGAGAATCCTGACCAAGTTTGGAACAATCTGGATGGAGAGAAATATATAAAATATTAATATAATAATAAATTAATTAATTGTTCGATAATTTTTTAATGAATTCTAATTCTGCACTATAAATGTAATAAACTCTCACCTTAAATATAAATTTACTATACTCTTGAATTAAAAAAAAAACTTAAGTAAAACATAAATGAATAATATACATAAATAGAATGTAAATATATCTCATCAATAAAATTCTTCTGTACAAGTATATAATTTGATACTTCTCCTAAACGGTTATTCGGATTTTGATAAATCTTCCTGAAGTTTGTTAAGGGATTTTTTAAGAATTTTTTGAATTATAGAAATAAAGTTATATTGCAGAAATAAATGAAAAAAATTGGCAAAAAACCGCTTATCATTGTTTGATATTGAAAACATTTGAACAATTTAAACCTGCTGAAAATGTCAATTTACTTGAAATTTGAATTTAGCTGAAATTATGAGCATAATGAGATCAATAAAATTAAAAAAAGATCTAACTAGAAAATTTTAAATAAGCAATTTATCAAGAAAAGAGCATTAAATCGAATTAATGCTAATGTTTTATTAGTTAATTTCAGAATTTATATTTATATTTCAGACAAATTATAAAAAATGATTTAAATTTCCACTTGTATAAGGAAATAATTCGATTTAGATTAAATATAAATGAACTAGCAAACCCGACGAACTCCGTTTCGCCACCAGATGGTCTGAAGAAATTTTTTGTTTGTTTTATATTTGAAAAGGAAAAATTTGATTTTATTACACAACAGTAATGAATTTATTTCGATTACAAAAATGAAGTGTTTTTTAGTTGAACTTCTCTATGTAAATGATAGTGAATCCGCAAATTATCCGTTTCATTGAAGTGCTCTTTGGTAAACCACATTTTTTGTTTTTTGGTCTGACATTAACACAAACAAAGCGGATGGTTTTCCAACTCGTGAACAGGCAACGTATAACTGCCCATGTGAAAAACAATGATTTTCTAAATAATCTATTTGAAAATTATCCCGCAAACACTAAGCGATTGGCCTTGCGACTTGTTATTGCGAACGCAAGGCGAACTGGAAATTGCAATCGTTTGAAGTCAAACGGAAGACCAGTCGGACTCATTGGTATGTCACCAAATCGCTAGCAATTTTTGATTGAATGGTGAAATTCAGTGCGTGTACATCATTATTCTTTGCGGCAAGAATTGCTCGTTGACTTAATTGCAAGCATAATTCTGATAATTCTCAGTAATGTCATTACTCGAATTTTTATTTACGGTGCGTGAAGTTCCAGCAATTTGCATTAAGGCACGATGCCATGCATCACTAATTTTCTTAGCTATAAACCTTGCGAAGCCCGAGACCTTTCCAACGAATGCAAAAATGTCGAAATCGGTTCGTGCGTTATAGAGTTAAATCGTCAGGAAGGAAAACCCGACTTATTTTTATATATACATGTATATAAAATAAATAAATAACTAAATAAATAAGTTGTATGTAACTAGCAAACTTGTGAGTTGAATTGATATAAAATAAACAGCAAAAATCCTAATAAGTCTAATTCAAAGCATTCCTTTAAGCAATTAATGTACAAAGCAACAAAGCTTAAATGAATTTTTCAATAGCAAATAAAATTTTAAAACAAATTCAATTAAAAAATAAAAATTCTGTGCCATACCTCGTTACTGCTAAAGTCCTGCATTAAATGAAACAAGGGGAGGAATAAAATAAAAATTCTAGTATAAACTTTTAAGAAAATATATCTAAATTTTGATTGTTCTACTGTAATAATAATATTAGAAATTAATATTATTTGTGCAATTATTAACTTCCCGTAGGGTAAGTAATAGTAATCGCAAAAAAATCGACTCAAACTTACGTTTCAGGGGTTTCTGAACATTTTGGTATACCTTAGAAAAAATTGATGTATGTGCGGATACAAATTTTCGTCGACGATTTCGGGAACACGAGTTAACCGATTTGATTAATTAAAAAAACATTCGATTCGTATTGATGAGGAGACGTGCTGATTAGTTTTTGGCAAAGGCAGGTCGAGCTGTTTCGAAGAAACGGGGCAAAATGAGCCAAAAATCGTAATCAAGTTTTTGAGAAAACGGCGCATCTGATTTTAATTATTTAAAAAACATTTTACTTGTATTGACAAAATGAAGAACTGATGAAATTTTTGGGAAGGCAGGTCTAGCGGTTTCGGAGATCTAGTAAAAATATTAAAAATAAATGCCATTTGGCGGTCCAATATGATCATTAGATATATGAACATCAAATTATCACATATTTTATAGATATTTTACTAGTAAAAACAAAGTTTGTTCACTGCTTATCAATGTTTATCCCTAATATCGCGGCGCGGCGCCTATGCGCTTCAAAATTTCGTTTTTACGTAGCTAACGTATCGCGATTGTTTTGACAAAATGTTCAAAATTCCCAAAATATATCAAAGTATAAAAAAAATTTATCATCTCTTTCAAAAATTTTAAAAATCTCAAAAATCGATTTTTCACAGAGTTCTAAAAGAAAATTGAATCTCTTTTATTTTTGGTACGGGAAGTTCCAGCAATTTGCCTTAAGGCACGATGCCATGCCCCACTAGTTATTATTACAGTATAACAATCATTACTAACAAATACTACATTTTTGTGTTTAATCAGAAAGGTTAGTTTAAAACTTCTAAAGCCGCTAAATATTTTTCAGTTAGTATATTTAAGTCTACTATTAAAATGTTCAATGTGCCAAAATAATAAATCTTATTAAAAAAACACTATTCATAAAGTTTATTTTTTTAAATTAAATTAATTTTAATCAATAAATAAATAATAATTTAAAAAAAAACCTTTTTAAACCTCTAATTACTTTGGCACACAAAAAACATTTCTGTTTCATATTTAATACTAATTTTTCAAAACCAAAGTTTTAATTTATTAATTATAAATCACAATCAAAACTTCGGTCTCAATTTTACTATTATCCTCTAGTAATCATGCTTTGTTATTTTTTACTAATTTAATATTTATTAAATCATACCTTTTTAAAATGATTTAATGTATCTGGACTGCTTTCGCACATTTCTGTAATAAGGGTTACTCCTGTTATTAGTACACCTGAAAAAAAAAAACAGGAAAACATTAATTAAATCAATCTAATTAAGTCTATTCTAGATACAATTGATAGCCAAATTCAATATACTACAAATGTAGAAATACTATAGATAAAAAAATAAAATAAATAAATAAATATAAAATAAAAAATACTTTTAAAACACCTTTGAACAAATAATTACTAAACAATCCAAATAATTCTATAAATAAATTTTTAATTGTATTATTTTAATCAATTTCTATACTTTATATAAAAAATTCTTATTTTTCCATTACCATGATTTTTCTCACTCAACAAACTCCTAGTAGCCGGCAAAAAAATTTCAGTCAACTCTGGAACCCTCCGAAGCACCCTAAAAGCGCACAGAGCAGCCTTTTTCCTAATATAAGCATTTGGAGACTTCAAAGCACGTTCTACCTCTGATGCAAGATCTCTAGCCATTTCAGGACTCGCTATGGCACCCAATGTACACAAGGCTAAACCGACCACAAACTGCGTGTTGGAATTAAGATCACTGGAGAAAAAAGATATATGTATTAATAAATTAAGAATAGCGTTAGTATTGAGTATTTGATGGTACTAACTTTTTTAAGCAGTTTGTGATTAACAAATGCACGTCTTGTCTTTCGTCTAGTAAAAGCATGGCACCTAAGTATCCTATTCTTTTGTCGGTAAAGCGTGAACTTGCTGTTAATTTTAAACATTCCAGTTGTCCAAAATGAGCAGGGTATCCGAGCATATGGATGTAAAGGAGTTTTGCTATGTTGCGACATCTGAAATAAAAATTACATTATATAAATAATTATATCTTATATCTAAAATTCTTCTGTACGGGTGTATGATTTGCTACTTCTCCTAAACGGTTATTCGGATTTTGATAAATTTTTCTGAAGTGTTTTAAGGGACTTTTTTTTTTAGGATATAGTTAGATTGCAAAAATAAATGGAAAAAATTACAAAGAACCGCTTATCATTGTTTGGCATTGAAAACATTTGAACTGTTATTTGCTAAAAATGTCAATTCACTTGAAATTTGAATTTAGCTGAAATTATGAGCCTAGATAATATTACACTATATAATACACAAGAAAAATGTAATGTCTACATTATTATTGCCGAAAAGAAGCTGAGATTTGCCAAAAATTAAAATAATATAAGATACAGTCAACAGTATATGGTTTGGCAGATGGAAATTATATAATTCAGTTTATTAAATAAGGCAATAAGTCCAAAATTGCATATACATTATTCTTTTAGACTTATGCAAGTCACATTTTGATTTGGTTTACTTTACTAAATTATTTAACAATACAAAAAAATATTTCTACTTATTGAAAAAATTATTCAAAATTTTGTTATGGAATATAGAATATTTAGCAAGTTGATCTTACATCGAAGAGCTAGTTTTTACTAATGTAAACATATTATAATGTCCGGAATGAAAATTAAAAGTTATTTAAAGAAAACTAAAAAAATGTCCTGAATCCATGTAATGCAAACTATAAGAATAAAAAGTCCACATTTCAACTATGAATTATTATTCAAAATTTCAATATCCAAGTGCATAAAACATTCTTAACTAAATTTTAGTGAATTTTATCTAGTTTTTACTAATGTAGACATATTAAAATGTCCGGAATAAAAATTAAAAATTATTTGAAGAAAACTAAAAAAATGTCCTAAATCTTTATATTGCAAGTTATGGAAATAATAAAGTCCGCATTTCAACTACAAATTATTCAAATTTTCAACATCAAAGTATATGAAACAATTTTTACTAAATTTTAGTAAATTTTATCTAGTTTTTACTAATGTGAACATATTATAATGTCCGAAATGAAAATTAAAAGTTATTTAAAGAAAACTAAAAAAATGTCCTAAATCCGTATATTGCAAGTTATGGAAATAATAAAGTCCGGCATTTCAACTACGAATTATTCAAAATTTCAATATCAAAGTGTATGAAAGAGTTTTTACTAAATTTTAGTAAATTTTATATAGCTTTTACTAATGTGAACATATTATAATGTCCGGAATGAAAATTAAAAGTTATTTGAAGAAAACTAAAAAAATGTCCTAAATCCGTATATTGCAAGTTATGGAAATAATAAAGTCCGGCATTTCAACTACGAATTATTCAAAATTTCAATATCAAAGTGTATGAAACAGTTTTTACTAAATTTTAGTAAATTTTATATAGTTTTTACTAATGTGAACATATTATAAAGTTCGAAATAAAAAATAAAAGTTATTGAAGAAAACTAAAAAAATGTCCTAAATCCATATATTGCAACTTATAGAAATAATAAAGTCCGCATTTCAACTACAAATTATTCAAAAGTTCAATATCAAAGTGTATGAAACAGTTTTTACTAAATTTTAGTGAATTTTATCTAGTTTATACTAATGTAAACATATTATAATATCCCGAATAAAATATAAAAGTTTTTTGAATAAAACTAAAAAAATGTCCTAACCATATATTGCAAGTTATGGAAATAATAAAGTCCGCATTTCAACTACAAATTATTCAAAATTTCAATATCAAAGTGTATGAAACAGTTTTTAATACATTTTAGTAAATTTTATCTAGTTTTTGCTGATGTGAATAAATTAAAAAGTTCGAAATAAAAATTAAAAGTTATTTGAAGAAAACTAAAAAAATGTCCTAAATCCTTATATTGCAACTTATAGAAATAATAAAGTCCGCATTTCAACTACAAATTATTCAAAATTTCAATATCAAAGTGTATGAAAGAGTTTTTACTAAATTTTAGTAAATTTTATCTAGTTTTTGCTAATGCAAATATATTATAACGCCCTGAATGAAAAACAAAAGTTATTTGAAGAAAAGTTAAAAATGTTCTAATGCATAATGAAGTTTGCATTTCAACTATGAATTATTGAAAATTTCAATATGCGAGTATAAAAAATGATTTCAATTGGCTTTTTATAAATCTCATCTAATTTTAGCTAATGCAAAAAAAATACAATGCTCAAAATAAACATTAAAAGTTATTTGAAGAAAATTATGAAATGTTCTAAGACTACTAAAAAGTCTGCATTTTAACTACAAATTATTCAAAATTTCAATATCATAGTGCATAAAACAATTTTAACTTCAAATTACTCAAAATTTTAATATGTAAGTGTAAATAATAGGTTATACCACGTTTTAGTAAAATTTATCTAGTTTTTACTGAAGTATATAAAACATAGCGGCCGGAGAAAAATTTCCAAGTTACTCAAAAAAATGTTAGAAAACATAAAAAATTTACACATTGCTGAATACTTGTCACCATTGCCATAAAAACATTCCTACAAGATATTTAAATTTATTATATAGGTGTATACAACAATTTTTCCTAACTTTTAAAATGTAATCTAGCTTATACTAAAGTATTTAAATAAAATGTTCAAAACAAATAGTTTGTTGTTTTCCTAAATATCCTAGCTTTATGTATTGCTAATTATCAAAATACTAAATATACTAAGGTCATTTAGTATATATATATATATATATATATATATATATATATATATATATATATATATGTTAAAGAAGTTAATTTTGATGTTGAGAAATATGAGCAAGTTCTTCAAGGGCAATACATCAAACAAAAGACAAAGATTTAGAAGTTAATCTTTAATTTTTCTGAATGTTTCGACACAGGATTTTATGTCACCATTAGTTATAATTGTTGTTGTTATAATTATAATATTTGTATCTATAGTTCTTTTTCCAATTTCTGTCATTTTGTCCTAGTTTATATTAATTTTTCAATGTTCATTCTGTAGATCCACTGATGATGACATAAAATCCTATGTCGAAACGTTTGGAAAAATTAAAGGTTAACTTCTAAATCTTTGTCTTTTATTTGATGTATTGCCCTTGAAGGACTTACTCATATATATATATATATATAATATATATATATATATATATATATATATATTATAGTTATATTTTGTTTACCTCCACGATGGGTCCTCTTCCCTAAAAGTGGATCTTATATAAGCACACTCTTTATTCACAACCGTCCTTTCTTCAGCAGCAGTTCTTGCTGCACGAATCTGTCTTATCAGATCTCTAAGTCTCGTTGGAGTTGGCATTCGAACTACAACATAATTGATACCAATTAGAATTTAGAATTTAAACTCGCAAAGTCAGTAAGTAATGTTAATCTTAATCATTTACCTCTTTCGACTGCTTCATTAATGGCCTGTTTGATTGTCGCCATATTAAAGGCCGGGTTAAACCTGTCAAATTCATGCTCAGAGTTAGTAAATTGCGCAAGCAGTAAACAGAAATGTCCAAGTGCTGATATATACAGCTCAGAGTGTTATTAACATGAAAAGCATCAAATCTAGATCTCGTATTATAATTACCCGCTCTCCGAAGCGTTCATTTTTCTTTGGTTTTGTCTAAATTTGACACGACACACCTTTGAAACACCTGTTACTTAGGTTAGATTGCAATCCCTTGATTTTAAAATACTTGCTGAGGTTTTGGAAATTTTATAAGCAATCGTTAAAAATTAAATCGAAACTAATTAACATTATTTATTCGTTTTAATACTTTCATATCACAACAGGTCACTATAATAACAAGTATAAAATTAGGCTTATGGTATGGTATATGTCAAATGAATAGTCTAATATTAAAAACAACTTTTAACATGGTAGTTGCACAATGTTATTGGTTGCGAGATTATTTCACATAATATGTTTATTTATTGTTATTGCGAGTGACATCACAGTACTTTAATGAAGATCTTTTTTATTAAATATTTAATTTTCGGCCATTGTTGTGAAACGTCATTGCGTGTGATTAGAAACGTTCACCAACATAAGAAACGAATGTCACCGAATGAAAAAGCGCGGTAAATTCAAAATAAGAATAATTAATTATAAATATATACTTGATTTCGGTTCGATTTGAAATATGTTTAATAATAAATAAATACTTTTACCAATTTTAGTGTCAGGGGATTCAGAATGACTTAAAAGGACGAAAAAACTTATTACAAATGTGATTTCACGCAAAAATACAGCCTTATTCTTCTGAAAGTTAAAATACGAGCAAAATTTGTTTGCACAATAATTGTTATTAATCATTTAAATAATTCTTTAGGGTTCGTGCATAAAACACGTAAGGTTTTTAAGGGCAGGGTTTTTGACAAAAATCACGAAATATCACATAGGAGAGGGAGGGATATTGTAAGATATCATGTGTAGTTATTTTTCACCTAATTTTTTTCAAAAAAAATCCAAACATTTTCAAAAAAAAAATTACAATTGGAGAGGTGTCCAATAATCCCTTAAAAATTGATCACGTGATTAATGGACCTTTATATGCAATAATTCTACTCCAGGATTTGAAATTTAATACAATATATTAATATAATAGTAATATTGATTTCATATAAATTATTATAATTTATTATAATTGAATAAATGTCTCGACTAATCAAATATAAATATTAAATAAGATCACCTACTTTTATTACACAAAACCAAGTAAAATCTACAAAGGCGTGTTATCTCCGTCTTATCGCCTTATCAGCTCAATATTTATATACCGTCGCAGCTATTTTGTTTGATAAAAAATAATTAATTATAAACGGAACAGATTTCTGAAAATAATAAAGAATCACTGCAATGCTTACAAAAAACACACAAATAAGTCTCTGGATTCTCTTGGACAAATAAATTGAATATACAGCAGAATTCTGTTAAGACGATCACGATTAAGACGATTTCTCGCATAATACGCTACTTTACGCCGCATGTTCCTATCACGCTTAATACGCTCTCGCATGAGACGCGAGAATTTCACTATATCTATTTTTTTGAATCTTTTCTTCTCTAAGTAATTAAGTCGTCCATCATCTGCATTCTTTTTCATCTTTTCAATCCTTCTATTTTATTATCTTTGGCACTCTTTTCCCAAGAAAAATCCAATCCAGTTTCTTTCTACAATCATATTAAAAATAATTGTTTCCTCTTCCACTATTAAAAATACTTCTTTTAATATTAACATCTTGAAATTCTACTGTTATTTTTCGTCGGATTTCTTTAGAGCCCATGTCTCTGATCCAAATGTGACACTATATTCGTCAGTAGAGTCGACATTCATTTTGTTCGTCAGTAGAGTTCTTTTTAACTTCCCGTAGGGTAAGTTATTGTAATGGGCCGAAAATCGGAATTGAAAATTTTTACATTTCTCGACGTTTTGAAGGTTTCTGAACGTTTTGGCATACCTCAGAAAAAATGGATGTGTGTGTGTGTGTGTGTGTGTGTGTGTGTGTGAGTGTGTATGTATGTATGGATACAAATGTTCGCCTACGTTTTCGGGCGTACGGATCAATGGTTTCAAAAACATTCGATCCCTATTGATGGGGAGATGTGCTGATTAGTTTTTGGTAGAGGCAGGTCCAGCAGGTACGGAGATAACGAGCAAATAGTGCAGAAAATAGAAATCGAGTTTTTGAGAAAATTGAGCATCCGATTTGAATGATCTAAAAAACATTCAATTAGTAATGATTGGGAGAAGTGGTTATTAGTTTTTCGCAAAGGCAGGCACAGCCATTTCGGAGATACGGGGCTAAATGTACAAAAAATGGCAGTTTTTGAGAGAACTAAGCGTCCGATTTAATTGATTTAAAGAACTTTCTGCTTGTCTTAACAAAATAATTGATTTTGGAAAAAAATTTTTTGTTCCACCTTTTTTTTTAATTTTTTGTATATCGAAAATAATTCAGATTTTATTTGTAATTCTGACTATAGTTCTAATATACTTTAAACAAATAATTTCAACTCTGCAATTCAGTTTATATAATTCTTATAAATATTAGACAATGTTACAATATTTATAATAATCTATTTGAAAACATTCAATATTCCTCGAATATTTCGTTACGGTACGGGAAGTTCCAGCAATTTGCCTTAAGGCACGATGCCACCCACCCCACTAGTTGCAATTGTTTTTGTAAATTTTTAGCCGATTTTTTTATTATGAAACCACCAAGTATTTTACCATTTTACAATCCTGATTCAATGTTCAAACTTTTGATGCAACTTGCCAGCATACTTTAGCACAATTTTTTTCAAAGGAGGGTCTTTCAAAATGGACCTTTTTTTTAATTTTAAATTCGTAGTTAAACAAAAAAGTCTTAATTATAGAAATTTTGGGGAAATGATGTCTAAATTATAGAAATTTTGTGAAAATTTTTGAATGTGGTCCTAGAAATGTTATTAGTAAAAATTAACCACAATAACCTGAAAAATGGTCACAATTTCACCAAAGCTCTAAGTTGCACTTAAAGCTCGTAATTTACAAAAAAACATGAGATTTTTTTATGTCAATACTATAACAACCCGTTTCGGCTTGACGTTGAGTTCTGGGACTCCCTGTATAACAATATAACTGAAAAAATATCTTGTCTACCATTAAGTAGAAAAAACTGAGATAGATTTAAATTTTCTTAATAAATCTTGCGGACGTTTCGAATCAAGAGCAAATTATTGAAAAAAATACAATATCACAATCCCAATATTTTATATATTCCATAATAGTTACATTTATAACTCAATCAATTGCTTATTCATTTTGGTATTCTGTTCAAAAAATATGTTTAATCCGCAAAAATATTTGTTATAGACATCATTTATTTACTGATTGCGGATGTTGTGTGTGTTTTTTTTTAAATATTTATACATTTGTTTGTACTGATGAGTCAAATCATGACTGAAGAAAAAAGTGAAGCAAAGTGAAGTGAAAGAAAAGAAAAAGTGTAAAGAATTTAATAAAGATAGAATTAAGCCTAAGTAAGGTTTTTTCTGTTTAATAACTGATTAAAATCTTTAGTAAAAGCGTTTTGTTCTATTATACATTTCTAAATACATACATAAATAAATATTTATATATATATATATATATATATATATTTAAATAATTTCAGCCCTTACCGTCTATTATGTTCCGGCGGCAAAACGCTCCAATCAGTCTCATAGTAAGGAAACATATTTAACAAAAATTTAAATAAAACTAATAAACTACTTCAATATAAATATTATAATATTTAAATTTTAACAAAATATTTTCTCCTCCTCCCTAAAAACACTTTAAAAATCTAATACACACTTCACTATCACCATCACAAATCTCATCACAATAATAAGAATTCGGCGATAACATTATTATCAGTAACCTAGTAATGGATTTATAATTAATATATAATTAATTGTAAATAAATATAATATAAATTGTATATTTAATTATAAATAATTATTAGGTAAAATTATATATACGTGTGTTTTTCTCACATTTTTTTTAAATTCTAGATAAAGTGTTCAGGTGCGATGTGGCCGCTGTCTTATGAGTAACTGAAGTGATAAGCGCTATCAGGTATAATACAATACACTTATATATATATATATATATATATATATATATATATATATATATATATAAACCCGACAAACTCCGTTTCGCCACCAGATGGTTTCGTGAGAAAGATGAAGAAATTTATTGTTTGTTTTATATTTTAAAAGGAAAAATTTGATTTTATTACACAACAGTAATGAATTTATTTCGATTACAAAAATTAAGTGTTTTTTAGTTGAACTTCTCTAAGTAAATGAAAGTGAATCCGCCAATTATCCGTTTCATTGAAGTGCTCTTTGGTAAACCACATTTTTTGCTTTTTGATCTGATGTTAACACAAACAAAGCAGAGGGTTTTCCAACTCGTGAACAGGCAACGTATAACTGCCCATGTGAAAAACAATGATTTTCTAAATAATCTATTTGAAAATTATCCCGCAAACACTAAGCGATTGGCTTTGCGACTTGTTATTGCGAACGCAAGGCGAACCGGATATTGCAATCGTTTGAAGTCAAACGGAAGACGAGTCGGAATCATTGGTATGTCACCAAATCGCCAGAAATTTTTGATTGAATGGTGAAATTCAGTGCCTGTACATCATTATTCTTTGCGGCAAGAATTGCTCGTTGACTTAACCAAGCATAATTCTGATAATTCTTAATAATGTCATTACTCGAATTTTTAATTACGGTGCGTGAAGTTCCAGCAGCTTGCATTAAGGCACGATGCCATGCACAACTAATTTTCTTAGCTATAAACCTTGCGGAGCCCGAGACCTTTCCAACGAATGCAAAATTGTCGAAATCGGTTTGTGCGTTCTGGAGTTATTTCGTCAGGAAGGAAAACCCGACTTATTTTTATATATATAGAAGATATATATATATATATATATATATATATATATACATAGATAAAAGAAGAGTATGTATATATATATATATATATATATAAATATAAATATATAATGTTCCAGATACAGACGTTTCAAGACTTTGATTTGTCTCATCATTAATGCAAATTATGCACTAAATGTAAAATGAAAGAATGTAGAATACTTTTCTCAAATTCTGAAACGTCGAGAAAGCATACAATTAGCAAATCAGATTTTCTGGCAAAGGCATCAGAGTTCTCCTTCGGAAACCCTCTGTGTACGAATCAAAACAGAATGTTTACTGTTCAGCAGGAACTCTACTTTTATGACGGAATCCCTTCAACACTTCCAACCTTCCTTAATTTTTAACTTCCCGTAGGGTAGTTATAGTAATGAATGGTTTGAAAAACATTCGAGCCCTATTGATAGGGAGATGTGCTGATTAGTTTTTGAAAAATTTCATAATAACTAAATTTTTTGCACGCCGTCTGCTCACACAAAATGTTTTCTGAATAATTAATCTAATCGGATGATCCGTTCTCTCAAAAACTGCATAATCGTTTTTACACCCTTTGCGTTTCATACCTCCGATATGAACACCTGATAATTTGATGTACATATGTACAATAAACAGTTTTAACCTACAAATGGCATTTTTTTAATTTATTTTTACTGAGAGTTCATAACTGCCAGACCTGCCTTTCCCAAAAATTTTATCACTTCTTCATTTAGTCAATACAAATAAAATGTTTTTTGAATTATTCAAATCGGACGCTCCGTTCTCTTAAAAACTGAGTTACCATTTTTGGCACTTTTTGCCCCGTATCTTCGAAACGGTTAGACCTGCCTTCGCCAAAAACTAATCAGAATACGAATCGAATGTTTTTTTTAATTATTCAAATCGCTTCATCCGTGCTCCCGAAATCGTCGCCGAAAATTTGTATCCGCACACACGCACATACATCCATTTTTTCTAAGGTATGCCAAAATGTTCAGAAACCTATGAAAAGTAAAGATATATAAAAATTTTGATTTTCGATTTTTTTGCGATTACTATAATCTCAATCACCAACATAAAACATTTGACAATACTTTTTCATCGGCTCACTAGCGCCAAATTTGCGACTACAATATGTCCCCTAACTAAGAATCCTTCTGAGCGCGTCTTTATCAAAAGATACTCTATGCTCGAAATGTCAACTTGAATTCGGATTTCGGAACGACCATAACCGTGTAATGTAAAGTGTTAATATCATTCGGAATAAACAGCTGGAAGATTTTCTACAACAAATGCAAGTATATTTAGATTGATTATAATATTTGAAATATTTGAAAAGGATACCATACGCAGTGAAAATGTCTGAAGAAACAATTATGGATGATCAGAAAATTAAAATTGAGCCACTAGAACTTTCAATAGAAGACACAAAACTTGAAAATGAATGTGATTTTGAAGGTATTGTTAAGTCTGAATCATGTTTAGAAGATGATGAAACTTGTCTGGAAAGATTTATGAATTCCGAAATAACTATTGAAGAAGAAATCAAACATGAGGTAATTGAGACACCCGATTGTGAATATGACATTTCTAATAGAACATTTTCAGAATCTAATTATTTGAAAGAGCACATGGTTGACCACATACCTAGAAATGGCAAAAATGGAAACATTAAATGCAATGTATGCGATAAGACATTTAAATATTCGTCAAAATTGCAACGACACATGATTACTCATAGCACAGAACGCCCTATCGAATGCAAAATCTGTCATAAGACATGGAAAGATAAAAGCGCTTTGACAAAACATATGCTTATTCATACAGGAGAACGACCTTTCAAATGTGAAATATGCAATAAGACATTTTCACAAAAAAGTAGTATAAAATCACATATGGTCACTCATACCAAAGAGCGTTCTTTTAAATGTGTAATATGCAATAAGACTTTTTTACAATCGAGTCACTTGAATAGGCACATGCGTATTCACACAGGGGAACGCCCTTTCAAATGTAAAATATGCAGTAAAACATTCTTACAATCGGGTGACTTGAAAAGGCACATGCGTATTCATACAAGGGATCGCCCTTTCAAATGTGATACATGCAATAAGGAATTTGCACATTCGAACAGCTTGAAGAGACACAAGGTGACCTGTTCATAATAGAAAACGTGATGAAGATCAGTGAAATATTAACAAACAGAAAGCAGAAATATCTATGAATTACTTATATTTTATTTGCATTGTAAATTTAATTACTGCTGTACAAATATTTAGTACTATGAATAAATTTATATAAGTATATTTGTTTTTATATTATAAGATTCACAGAAGGGATGTTTTAAAGTAATATAAATAAATTTGATTTATTTGAATTTGATATTTTAATATTGTTAAGGATTCTTTTAAAACATGTTTATTATCATTTTTGTTAAGAATTCGTTTTGAACATTTATATATTGACAATATTCAAAATATCAAAAATAATAAATAAATTTGCTTCTGAGATTGATATCTTTGGTCTGTCGGTGACAAATATAAAAAATCAAGCCTGAAAAATTATCCTTAAAAGACTGTCTTAAGTAGTGATTTATAGTTTATTAAATGTTTAATATTATTAGTTTTTATTCAATGTTATATTTTTTTAGTTAATATTACATGTTATGTATATATACAAAGCTATCTATGAACTCTTAGTACTCTAGTTTTCTCATATATTATCTTTAGTTTATAATTTGTACACTTTAAAATGTTGAATAAATAAATAAACTAGTGGTGTATGGCATCGTGCCTCAAGGCAAATCGCTGGAACTTCCCGTATCGTAATGAAATATTCGAGAAATTTTAAACGTTTTCAAATATATTATTACAAATACTGTAACTTTCATTATTTTTGCTATCTTGTTTGTTATATCTGAGCAATATCAAATGTAAATCATAAATCATAAATCAATTTATCTCCAGAACATTAACAATCGTAATTTCATTTCGAATTCAATTTAAAAAAAAATAATTTCCTTAATAGTTTTCACAAAATTGGAAAAGTGCTCCAGTACATAAACAGTCTAAACGCACTTGGGTAACGCATTTGTACCAGAATGGCGCTTAGACTGTGCTTATCCTGGGTGATTTTTTGAATTTTTAAAAAAGATGTAATAATTTTTTATCCTCAAAAGCAATTGTTTTGTCAATACAGGCAGAAAGTTTTTTAGATCATTCAAATCGGACGCTTAGTTCACTCAAAAACTGCCATTTTTTGCACATTTAGCTCTGTATCTGCGAAATAGCGAAACCTGTCTTTGCCAAAAACTAATCATCTCTTTTCCCAATCATTGCGAATAGAATGTTTTTAGATCATTCAAATCCGATACTCCGTTCTCTCAAAAACTCGATTTGTATTTTCTGCACTCTTTGCTCCGTATCTCTGTAACGGCTGGACCTGCCTTTGCCAAAAACTATTTATTCATCTCCCTATCAATAGGAATCGAATGTTTTTTAAACCATTCAAATCGGTTGATCCGTGCGCACGAAAACGTGGACGAAAAAATGCGGACATACAAAACACACACACATCCATTTAGTTTCTGATGAATGCCCCTTAAAAATGTTCAGAAACCTTCACAACGTCGAGAGATGCAAAAATTTTCATTTTCGATTTTCGGCCTCTAAACTCTCCCTTCCAGGCAGTTTTAATGATTTTTATTTTATATTTTTAAGTTTATAAATTCAGTATTCAGTATGTTGCGAGACTAACTAAACACATATTAAGAAATTTAGCTCGCACAAGTTACTCACCAATTTAATAAATTGTTTTTATTTTGGAAGATCTAAACTTCTTTTCAAAGCAATCGTACTGCTTTAACTGCATAAAGACGAAATATCAAAGCGCGTAAGCGCCGCGTCGCCGTCTAACGCGTAAACATTGGTACGGAACCCATAAGAATGTAAACAAAATTTATACTTATTGTTAAAATCTCTAAAAAAATATCTGATAATTTGATGTGCATATGTCTAATGATCATTTTTGACCGCCAAATGGCATTTTTTTTTTACTTTTTTCATTAGATCTCCGAAACCGCTAGACCTGCCTTTATGAAAATTTGATCGGTTGTTCACCTTGTCAATACATGTAAAATGTTTTTTGAATTATTAAAATCGGACGCTCCGTTCTCTTAAAAACTGAGTTACAGTTTTCGGCACTTTTTGCCCCGTATCTTCGGAACGGCTAGACCTGCCTTCGCCAAAAACTAATCAGCACGTCTCCTTATCAATACGAATCGAATGCTTTTTGAATTATTCAAATCGGTTGATCCGTGTTCCCGAAATCGTCGACGAAAATTTGTATCCGCACATACATACACACACGCACATACATACATACATACACACACACACACACACGCACACACACAAACATCCATTTTTTCTAAGGTATGCCAAAATGTTCAGAAACCTCTGAAACGTAAAGATATATAAAAATTTTCATTTTCGATTTTTTTGCGATTACTATAACTTGCCCTACGGGAAGTTAAAAATGCTCAAAAAAGAGGTGAACGTAAAAAGAGTCTGCTTACAATGGGCAAGATATGTGGCAATGCATGATGATGTAAATTTCCATCATATTGTTTTTTACATAATACATACTTCTATTTACATTAGGATTTTTTTAAATATTTTTCCTTTAATCTAGAGCATTAATTACATCACCCTGATTTATTTTATTAAAATAGAAAAAATCATGCAAAGAAGGGTTAAGGTGTAACGTCTTAACAAATGTGTTAGTTCAGACTGCAAAATATATTGTTATACAAAGTTTCAACAAAATAATCGAGTAACCTCGAATGGCTCTTAAAATTTTGAAAATTGGTCCAGAGGAGAAAACTTCGATGAAAAGATAAAAATCGGCCTACAGATAGTCTCAAACGATTCAGAATAACAAAAATGTCGGGAATAAGTAAAATTAGCAAATCGGATTTTCTGGCGTAAATAAAGTTCTCCTCGAGAATGCTTTCTACACGCAATGCACAATAAATCATCAAAACAGAATATTTACTGTACAGCAGAAACTCGACTTTTATGACAAAAACCCTTGGATCTAACCACTTTATCATTATTTTCCTTATTGGGCCCAGCTTAACTTCATAAGCCGGTCCTCCAAAAATTCACATAGTACTCTTAATACTATGCATCAGTTGTGTTTAAGTGCAAAATGCGAGTCTTTGCAAATCATTTTATATTCTACGGGAAGTACTCTAAAGCGCGAGTTAGAAAACACAACGCAAGACGATTTAACACGAACGAACAGTAGCGGAAATAATTTTAAATATCACCAAGGGGGGGCTAAAAAATCCTCAAAAATCGGTCACGTGATCAATAAACGCTTCCTATAAAAAGGACTCTACTGACGAGCAAACTGAATGTCAAAAGAAAACGAAAGATTCTACTAACAAGCAAACTAAAATAAAAAGAATATACATATATTAGTGGTAATTTATTGCGTGTAAAAGTATATAAAATATATTTATATGTACTCTTGTAAGTATTTACATATATAGAAATTTAATATTTTTCTGTACACTTTATGGCATTGTGATATTATGGAATGCTTTACTAATATTTAATTAAATTTATATAATATAATATTCAATTCAAAATAATTGGTCTCTTGATTTTTCAAAAAATATTTTTTTGTAATAAAATCATTATATTTAATTTAAAAATTATACTAATTTGTTATATATATATATATATATATATATATATATATATATATATATATATATGTATATATATTATACATATTTATTCATTTATTTATATATATATATATATATATATATAAATAAATATATTTTTATAAACAGAAAACTTTTTGAGCAGACATCCATCCAGATAATAGAAAGAAAACTAAACTAATTTTCTAAAAAAAAATCATACGTTTCGAGACCCAATTTGACTCTTCTTCAGAGAATAAAACACACAAATTCGTTTTATTAACACAAAAATAATAATTTAAAAAACACAAAGTAAAGCAAAATTAATTCATAATAAACTGAGCAATATAAAACGAATAAAATAAAATATGAAGCCGAGTAAAGAATAAATTCTCATACTCGTAATCTACAATATCTTTGTGTAATATTTTTATTGATTATTTTATATTTTCTACTTTTACTTTTTCTTACGCGTTCCATACTTCTTACTTTTTCTCACATGTTGCATTTTTACTATTTTATTACATATTTTAATTTTCTTAATAAAAACTTTTAAGTCAAGAGCCAAGGGGCACAACTAATGTGAAATTTTCAAAAAATCGAATTTTCAATTTTTTCATATTTCGATAGGTTATACCTTTAAAAATAACATACCAAAATTTTAAATCGATATCTTAAATAGTTTTTGAGTTACAGCCATTCAAAGAGTTTATATATAGTATATAGTATAAGAATCATTTTATCTTCAAACGCATTTTCTCGAAACAGCATTTTCCGAATTTGCTGCAGCGACTTTTTTTTACATGTTCTATATATAGTTCTCCGTAAAATGAACTATCGATTTTTTGATCGGATCAAAAATCGAATTTTGGCAGTACAAAAACGACCAAAATTTTGAATAAAATTCGACTTTTAAAAAAAAAAACGCCGTCATTTTGTCAATTTTTGTTTTTTTTCTTTATCGTAGTTCATTTTACAGACAATATTATCTAGTTTAACGAGAATTTTTTACTTTTAAATTTCATCCACGTAGAAGGCCGGGGTCACTGCAGAACTGAAAGGCTTTTTTTTTGTCGCGCCGTTGGAGATCGACGATAACTTAAAAAATATTTAATTTTTTAAATTTTGAAATGATTGATAAAGTAGTTTTTTTAATATAAATTTCCAAAAATCACCTTTTTTAGGCGGTTACACTAGTTGTGCCCCTTAAACTGCAACTCAATCACGAAGGGCAGAATCAGATTTCATTTTTATACACAGTGCAGGGATACGATCCGAATGCCTCTTTCTTGCATATGTATATTGCAGAAATGTCGACGAAGAGCTATTTTCACTTCGGACCATATTTCATGGTATCAAAAGAAAACCGATATCATACTACTTGATATCTAGCTGACAGTGGTCGGGATCATTTCGGGACTAAGAAAAGCGAGCCCATGTTTTTATCAG